TTTGAAAAATGTAAATATATGCGTAATTTCTTCAGATAAGGGTTTCATACTACTATTTGAAGCTCCTGTTATTAACCTAAATTTAGCTGGTGTTTTGTGCAGTTTAGGTAACCAATAAATATTAGTTACAGTAGGATTGTTTATATGTTTTAAATTCAAATTGCGCATAAACTTTGAATGTTTAGTTATTATAGTGTTAAGGTTGTTATCAGGAATATAGTTATAAATGATTAAACGAAAATTGCTGGTATCTTCTATTCCCATTTCTGGCATGAGAACGGTTAAGTAAAAACGCTTACAAATTATACCGTAATTTGAGCTAGCCTTATCTAATGGACAGAATATGAAGAATTTCTGGAATTTTTCAATTTCAAGATAGGAAGTTTATAATTATTTGGTTTGCGATTGTAATATACAGGATGTCCGTAAAGTATGTAAACACTCTTTGATCGTTATTATCTCCTTTCCCAAGAAGTATTTTGCCTTGCTTCAGGTACCGTTTTGTAGAGCTGGCTTCAACTTAGATTTACAGCATGGAGCGAATCACCCATCTCTTACTGTAGTATTGCGGTAGAAACTTGAAACATATGGTGTCAATGGGGAAAAAGCTGCCGCTCCAAAATTCTTCAAAAAAATGTGAAAACTGGTGTATTAGGGTTTTTACGAATGCTGATTCAATACTCAACTATTTACAAGATTGTGAAGCTTTTTAAATGGTGTAACTGCACTTTTTGGAACACTGAAAAAATGGCCGCTACCTCTTACCTGGCATAACTCTTCAATGAAGCATCATAATAAGTTGGAAACTTTACAGTTAGAATTAGCAACTCTAATTAGCCTAGTGTAAAAGTTATCAGGCTGTTTTGTTCCCTTTCTGAGGTAAAATATGGCCTTTCATGGCTTAAAAACCTCTTTGAAGTTTCAACCGTAATCCTACAGTAACGAAGAGAGGCGGGTGATTCGCTCCATGCTGTAAATCTAAGTTGAAGCCAACTCTACAAAATGGTCCTAAAGCAAGAAGACTTCTTGGGAAAAGAGATATTAACGATCAAACAGTGTATACATACTTTACGGACACCCTGTATAAGTCTATTATTATTACTAAAAAAAGTGTCTACATAATGCGTTGTATAAAATGTTTGAGACATTGGAGGAATGGTGTCTATTTTTATGTTTAACGGCAATTGTTTCAAACAAATTCGGCTAAAATTTTCTAATCGAATAGATGAGATTGTTGAGACGGAAAACGAAACTTGGTACCTTTAAGAAGAACATCATAAATAGGACTATCTCTGAAAAGTTCAATATTACCTGTAACTATATGCCTGTGACTTGGATCTATAAAGCGACTGTAACATGCACATATGCACGGTAAACTGGTACTGTTCAGATGATCAAGGATTAAAAATCTGTTATAACTATATATATAGCTAGAAGATTGTTTGGGGTACTGATATATTAATCTAACGGGTAGATATTGCTTGGTACTTCTAAGTGTTATGATGTTTTTTACTGTCTTATTATTTATTATTCTATTAACGTTAAATTTATCAAGTATAGAGATATAAAATGGAAATTTTATGTTCAAATAATTAGTTTTAACGGTTTCAAGCTGTGGCTTATCGAAATAGTAGTAACAGAGTATACCACAAAGAGCATATTTAAAATCAGGTGGAAGGTTAACTTGAGTATTATTAAGCGTTATAATGTTTATGAGTGTGGAAATGTAATGTTTGTTTTTACTTTTTATAAATTTATATAATTGATTGAAAGAGGGGTTGCTAACTATGAAATTTTGCACTTCGGTGGTTACAAGCTGCGTGTTAGTCTTGCATTTTGCTTCAGAACTTTTCTTAATACCGCATTATTTCTCAATTTGGTTATTTTTAGATTGAAAAAGGGATGGTTGGCTTTATAGAAAAGTGGATCACTAATAGTGCTTAGATTGCCATAGCCTTTTATGTTATCGTTGAAACCAAATGGATATGGTGTCATTAATAATTTGATTCAAAATAGTTCTTTACTTCCTAGAATAGTGGAGTCAACGTTTTCAGGTACATTATCTAGTATGTTATAACTATAGGTTATATGTTATAACTCTTAAATTTTCACTATTACAAGTTACTGTTTTGAAGTGCTTATACAAATGTTTATTATCGTTTTTATTCTTTATACCCCGTAAATGTTCTTTTATTCTAATACTAAGTTTTCTAGTAGTAATGCCAACATACTGAAATCCACAGTCTGAACATGTTATACAGTGTATAACATTTTTAGACGTGCAAGTAGCTGTAGTTATGTTTTAATCTTTAAATTTGTGGTATGGGAGTATATATAGTTGTTATTATCCAGATTTTTTTTGGCATATAATGCATTTTGAACTACATTTTGTGCCTACAATCATTACCAAAATGCATTAGGTTGTATTCGCCATTTACCTTACTCCTAGTAAAAGACGCAGCCTGAAAATAAGAATCAGATGAGTAACTAGTGTATGTACTATTATTTTTAAGCCTAAAATCTAAGCTAAAGAATGGCCCTATACTATAGCAGAGGGAAGGTTACCTGAGTTTCGGAAGGACTGCTCCCAGGGGTTGGCGCTCCCTAAAATAAGTAATATACCGGAGCCGCAGATACTTACCCTCCCATGCCAGTAGCCACTTATGTAAACCCCATCGGTAATATTACTGAAAAAAAATAAAATCAAAAAGAAAAAAGTTAAACTAACTTCAGATAAGGTAACAACCTAACCCCTTATGTTTATGTATGTATAAAAAGTGAGTGTTAGAAATAATTTAGGCATATTAAGTTAAGTCTGTTAGTGGCAACCCCTTAATGTTAAGAATGCGGCAAGGAAAGATGCTATAAGGTCAATGCAAGTAAATGTGCTCCACTGATGATAAGGAAATCCTATAGGATAAAGCAAATCTTTCAATGACATTGGCCTAAAATTGTTATTTCTGATGCATTTCTCCTCAGCGCTCTTGTTCAATTTTGGTGTGATGTTGTTTTTCTTAAATAATGTTCTGCAAATTGTTATATAGCTTCTTTTAGAATGGACCAAGAGGAGAGGAAAGCGCGATTTAACGAAAAATGTGCAAAACCACAAGCCGATCCTATTACTGGAACCTGTGAAATTGTGCCCCAAACGGATCCACGCAATATTTCACGCGCCAAAGTGGGCCTGTAAATGTACTTTTGCCAAAGTCATGGTTTTGTTTAGCAAATAAATCCGCAAACCATGGACTCCAGCTCGAAAAGTGAGCAAAAAGTTTACTTTCATTCAAGATCGGGGCCAAAAAGGGATAGTTGCGTAATGATCGATTTGTCAAGGTTTTACCTGGGAATGTGAGAAGATTTTTGCTCAGAGATGTAACTAACGGTTGTCGTCATATTTATGGCAACTATCAAGCCATTATAACCCAGTAACTGATTCAGAATCGCATTTAATCTTTTGGAGAATACTTTCTTTCCCTCAAAATCACCGATTTTACATGAAGAACTTTTGGAATGAGTCGTTGTTTACGTTTCATTCGTGATGCTCGGCAACGTTTCAAAGCCCTCATTTTGCGAGTACGAGGAAGGCATGTGGATAGTAGAGCCAGTGCGAGCCTCTGCGAAGCAGAGGTGACGCACTGGTCACTTATATGATAAACAACCGAATGCTTTGTTCTGTGTTTTGTCTGTGCTATCATGTGAGGTTAAGATAGCGAGTATGGTTCATTTTTAACTACGGCTCACTTTGCAATAAACTGAACAATGATTTGAGAGACAAGCTGTGAGTTTACCACGGTTCACGATGCCAGTGCAAACCTCTGCGGAGCAGAGGTGAAGCACTGGTATTTTAATACTTGAGTTTGATTATAGCTTAACGGTACTTGTGATGAATAGCCAATTTGACACATTTGTTAGTTTAAATCCTACCCCCTTTTGTTGTCTTCTTAGACAGTAGCTTGCTTTGGACAAAAAATGTGCAATTCCTTTCCAATGCCTTTGAAGTTTCTAACTCTCCTTAGCAGGCGGCGAGGACTGCTAGTATATTTACCAGCTGTGCTTCAGGGCTACATCACAAGAACATTTTTGAAACGAGGGGGATAGGACAGACTTTTAGGTTTTGTTCAATAGCTCTCTCAAAGGCAGTGGATCGACAAAATGGACCCCTGTCGGATTTTGGTGTCAGATAGTAGACCCTTCAGGTATATCGTAACCCCACCCTCCAATTCATGCACTAACCCAAAGAAGCTTCAAAGCTCCACCAGCCCCGCCCACTTCCATTGAATGGGCGTTATTGGTGAACTGAGAGGGTCCATTTTGCCGAACTGCCTCTAATACGATGGCATACGGTGTCCCTACAAAACTCCCCTTTACAAAATGCTAACTGCACTCGAACCAACTTGGATGTTTTCTCTTTCATTTTCGTTGTTGTCGCGCCATGTTTTGTTACACTTACTGATGCGCCGAAAAAAATTACAGTTGTGTGGCCCTGCACATGGTTTCGTCTCTGATTCGTTTGAGCGCTTCCTCATGTTTCAGAGAAGAAGGGCCGAAGAGACTGTGACAAAGTGTGAGTGACAGGAGGAACCATGCTGCCGCTCAAATCAAATATACAATGAGTTGACACATTCTAAGGTGATAATAAAACTGGGCTCATTAACGCACGTATAATTCTAACCCGCACACCTTAAAGGGTCAAAATCCAAATGTACAATGTGAGGAAACAAAAAATTAGGTGGGTACTAGAAAACATTACTGGATGCTATGTTTTACAGATAAATGGGGTATTATTATGCTATGAATTTTGAAAAGACGCAAATGTGACAGCACTAGTAGGAGTCTGCGAGCTTACCATCATAAGGGAAACAAGAATCTCCTTTTTATGATACGGCAAACATATCTAACATAAAAATTATGATAACAAGAAAAATACAGCGGTTATAGAGATGATAACAGTAAGTAGTAAACGAAACAATTGACACTGCTACTATTCGCGACTTCTACGCTTAGATCGGAAGACTTGGCACCGGTTGTGGAGTGGCGTCGTAGAGCCCAAGACGAGCCATTTTGACACTTTGAATTTGATATTCGACACGATGCAAATCCGCTAGAATAGCTGCATCGCGAGCTGGCATCGTGTGCTAAAAATAAAAAAATTTTTTTTACAAAAGCGATTAAATGAACTACCATTTCTCGTCTCAAAGTTTCGAAGAGATCGTCGCATCGTTTTTCGCGACTGGAATCGAACGATGTTACACGGGAATCTGACGAGGTTACCGTCATCGAACCCATTGATTGATCGGGGGTTGAGGATCTGAATATCATAAATTGGTTAGCTGCATTAACGAAAGTTTCTTCGCGGGGGGAGAGGAGGGCGGGGAAGGAGGAGGACAAATTTTCGATATAACATCACTGACGCCATACCATGACATATCATTCTTACAAGCCCAACTGGAACTTTAATTTAAGAAAAATTATTCTGATTGTTCAAACGTTACTTCGTAATTGAAGTTTTTTGGGCTACTTTCAAAATTCCGCCCCCCTCCTTCACCTCTCCGCTATTGGTTAGCAAATATAAGCAAAAGAGAATGATTTGGAGGTAGCAGCAAAAAATATTTTTGGAATGGAGGAAAGAACGATCTGGGGGTGAACTTTTGAGAATTTTGTAGGCTCCATGTTTGGTAAAGCTCCTTTACTTGTTAATCAAAATATGAATTAGTATGAATTATTATCTTATATATAAAGCTGAATGTCTGTTTGTCTGTATGTCTGTCTGTCTGTCTGTATGTCTGTACGTATGTTCCGAATAGAAAATTCCATTTCTGAACCGATCCGGACCAAATTTGGCACACATACACTACGGGCCCCGGCGGGTGTCATAGGCTACTTTTCGTCATCGATCGATATCGATTTTATCGATTTTTATCGACTTTTTTGCTGAGTTCACCTACGGGGCTGGGAGTTGGCACAGGGGGTAATCGAGCATGGGGATTCCGAATACAATATTGGTTTTCGGGATTATCGATTACTTTTATCGATTTTATCGATTTTTTTGCAAAGTTTGAGCTACGGGGCTGGGAGTTGGCACAGGGGGGTAATCGAGCATGGGGATTCCGAATACAATATTGGTTTTCAGGATTATCGATTACTTCTATCGATTTTATCGATTTTTTTGCAAAGTTTGAGCTAGGAGGCTGGGAGTTGGCACAGGGGGGTAATCGAGCATGCTGATCACCCCCAAGGGGAGTGATCAGCATGCTCGATTACACCCCTGTGCCAAATTCCAGCCCCCTAGCTCAAATTTTCAAAAAATCGATAAAATCGATAAAAGTAATGGACGATCTTGAAAACTAATATTGTGTTCGTAATCAGCATGCTCGATTACCTCCCTGTGCAAAATCCCAGCCTCGCATGTCAAAATTTACAAAAAATCGATAAAATCAATAAAAGTAATCGATAATTCTGAAAACTAATATTGTATTCGAAATCCCCATGCTCACTTCCCCCCTGTGCCAACTCCTAGCCCTGTGGGTGAACTCTGCAAAAAAATCGATAAAAATCGGTAAAATCGACATCGATCGATAACGAAAAGTGGACTGTGACACCCGCCGGGGCCCGAAGTGTATGTGTGCCAAGTTTGGTCCGGACACGGCGGAGCCGGGTAAGCCAGCTAGTAGATTATAATATAAATTTTAACGGCTATACACTCTAAAAGCAGATTTCGCTTAAGACATTTACCCATCAAATCAAAATCAGGAAAAAAATTAACTACTAGAAAAAAGAGAGTTTTTTCTCAACAGATTATTTGAGACCAGTGGCAAGCGGTGTAAGCACCATAGGAGTGTTGAAAAACTGCATGATATTTCTTTTTTTTCTTTTTTTTCATACTAACTGTGCTGAACAAATACTGAGTTATTACACATGACTTCCTTGTCAAATTACCCCATCCCTCACATTTTTTTAAACACATTCCCAACCAAATTTTTTCTATTCCGTCATTTTGAACCGAAGCATCCTCTGCCTCGTCAAGTTTACGACTAAACGTTGGATCGTAACTTTGACAAGGCAGAAAAGGCTTTTGAAATGGTGAAAGTTCTTTGAAAAAACCACATCATGTATCCAAGAATGCTGAGAGATGTTACCAAAGATGAGAAGACGGTCAAAAAGCGCAAATCCTTTGATTGTCACCCACTCAAAACTGCATTCCGGCATATAGATCTATGGAAAAGAAAAAGCAAAGTGCTATAGCTGGTTACTTTCTCAAGTCAACTTTAGATTTCTCGACTGTTGTTATTAAAAAAAATGAAGTCGTTAACAGTGAATTTCAGATTTGTTCCATTTTGATACTCTCAAACATCCTGAGAAACTAGGGTTGAATCTAATGAAGAATATATCCCCCAAAAATTACAACACAGACCTATTAGACACTAATAACTGAATTTTAATATTCATAACTATTGTTAATACGCACATATTGATTGAGTACAAAAGCTACATTTAATCCGATTGTGGGCATCATACGGTAACGCTACGGTACTCTTGTGGTAAATAGTCAGCTAAGAGCTTTGTCGCAAACTGTCACACTGTCACACTGCGGTAGTGTTACAGCTTCAGAAAATATACAATCCATGTCTTATTTTTGCGAATACTATAATAGCAAAAAAAAAGTAAACGGAAAAACAACATACCTATCCATGTCTAGGCCGCTATCTGGGTAGTTCGTGTCAATATAAGTATGTCCGTAGTTACGAAATCTTCCAGTCGTGACAGATCAGTCTCTTTTGTCAAAGCTGCTGGTGTACGATATCTGTAGATGGTCAAATTTGAGAACTGAAATTATTGAAGAATAATCCAGAACTTACCCAATTTCAATGAACTGCGCTGGTTTGGGGTTAGAGTCAGTCTCAAGCGACGACGGTTTTTTGTTCGGTAGCTAGCTGTGGAGTAGATTTTCTTGAAGAAACGTTTCGTAGCCCGAAGGAACTTCGCGTTATTGGAGTGTGCCGTCACATCACGTGCACTGCTCAAATTCAACGCACGCATATCAGACGAACACGGTATCACGACTCCAACGCTAAGGCTCGCATCAGCTCCAGCACTGTGTGACCTAACCACTGTACTGACTTACCGTACACCTACAGTACTTCAAAATGTTGGGAGATAACAATGTTTGAGGAAGTGAAAAATGACAAATAAGATTGTAGCAACATGGCAATTGTGAACAAACCCCAATGATAATCAAGTGGGTATAAAGCTCATCAGTGCATCAACGTTGCCAACAACATTTGCGCGTGTAAATTTTTGGTACAAACTACGTTCGAATGGGCGCCCCATGGTATCTTGCATGCAAATGTAGCGGTAGTAAAAATTTAGCAAATTCTCCCCGCATTATTGTAGAAAGCACGAAAACTCCGCAAAACTGAATATTTATTCATTTATTTATGAATAACTTGAAGTGTGCCGAAAAAAAGGAACTCGAACTAATGCGGTGCCAGCTAGTCTCAAAACTCAGGCAAAAAACAATGACATGGAAATTACAAATCACTGTAGATTACTAAAATGTAATCAGTATTAGCATAGCGCATAAACATTCTTCCCCATTTGGGTTACCTTATTTCCACACCTATTTACCCTATTTCTATTTCCCCCTAATTTCCACATCCATCCAAAAATCATCAATCCATCCAAAGCCCCTAACGGCTCATATAGAAAGAAATAGTGTAGTAATAGCGTAGAAAGCTTGCGTTTTCATGGTTATAAACAATTTTGTTCTTGCTTAGTATAGAGAAGTACCGATGCCCCCTCGTTTGCCAGCAGGGAAGATCTCTATATTATTTGAAACTTTTAGAATTGAAGGTTTTCAACGAATATCCAAGGTTTTATATCTAGAATAGTTGTCGTACTTTCACGTTCCCGTAGATGGAGGTTAGTTTCATAAACTACTTGATTTTCTTGACAAGCATGGAATGATTTCAATTTGAAACACGCAACTGTCATACTTGCTTCGTCTTCTGCTAATCCTCTACTTACGGATGATGAGCCAGAAAGTAAGACAAGCGCGCACGATCACCATCACTTCGAAAGAGATCTTTGAGAGGATAGCGACTTATGGAATAACTATGTATGAGAAACGCCACCGCATTAAATCAGACACGAAAACGTGGGAAGATTCATGCGGCAGCGCAACTTGCGCTGAAAGCAAAGGTGCGAAAAAAAATCAAGCGCTTGATTTGTTCACTTCCATGTTAATTCGTCCCATCGCCCTCGATTGCTATGCAAAAAATCATTAGCCTTTCACGAATGTGCCAAACGTCAGGCTAGAATCTCCAGAAGTCAAAAGTTTGAGAAGAGTTAGTCTTCTGAGGTCAAGCCTTTCACGAAATAGTCAATATTTTTACAGGCAAAATCACGCGGACTACCCACACTGTGCCTATATATAGTAGCACCAAGAGTAACAAAACATGGAAGTAACTAGATCCAATGCTCAAAAATTTTTTAGAAGCCGATCTCTGGATAGCCGCTATTTCAACGAAATTCAAGCCATGACAAATCATGTATGTCACGCGGTCTACAATATGTTAAGATGTGATGCGATTATCGTTATGTCATTCAAAGCTACGCATCATTTCTTCTTACAAAATCCCTATCAGTACTAATTTACGATTTTCGCATTTTATGTTTGAGAGAGAGCAAACCAATTGAACCTAGTTTTACTGAATTGAAAATCCCAGCTCACTGTGCAAAACACGGACATGAGTTTTGAAAAGATGGCTTATCTTCGAGGCTTTCATTCGAATTCCACTAACAAGGGAAGGATACTTGGTGGAAGTGGCGTTTCCATACAAAATGTATGCTATCTTATAGAGCACAAAATGCTGATTTTAAACTGTTTTCGCTATCTGCAAAGCGCTTCTGGGACTTTTGGGAATTTTCGATTTTAAAATCTTGAAGCGCCGCTACAATAAAATCATTTAGAACTTTTGTCCACGAGCTCAAATGCGTCATGATTACTACTACTGCGTTTTATGCAATCCCTTCAATCTAATAAACTCATGTCAGTCAATACTCCTTTCAAGCGCCGTAGGAACCTCAAACCTGTTTTTACCTTAGCCAAATCACTGAATATTTACCTCAAAGAATTTCCAGAACTCCCCCTCCCTACCAGAAGCGCATTGCACATGAAGAAAGCAGAGTTGGAATCAGCGTTCCCATGCTCTATAAGATAGTATACACTTCACATGGAAACTCCACTTCAACCAGATATCCTATTGCATGACTCGATATCTTCTGTACAAAAACATTATTCCGTCAGTTCGTGGATGTTGTAAAAGTACGTGTACGTAGAGATTCTCGATTGTAAGAACTTTTGAAGACTAAGCACCAAAAAGGTGTTGTCTAAGTAATATCAGCCTGGGCTTTGTACACTCCTGTGTTTGTAGTGCTGGTCATGTTCTACAGCCGTTCGAAGGCAACTTTGAATGTGAAAAATCAGTATGAAAAATTGGTTGTGGGTATTTTAATCTACTTTCTGTGTTTCCCTAGTAGTTCCTTCTTTCATGTCATAAGTTATCGCTTATTAATTTGACTTTTGCAGGGATTGAAAACTATCAAGCTTTTTTGCGCGAAATAACTATGAAAACCGGTTATTCTATTTAAATTCTCTAAATATACACATTATATTGAAGATTTGAAGCAAATGAAATAGTAGAGGATTGTTCTATTTCAACAAGAGAAAAACTGTGTAGAAATGCATTTTTATCCCATGAGAAAGAGACGATGTTTGAGAAAATTGCGAGAGTTTCGCAAAGACTAATAGTATTCAAACCGCTAGGGCATTATTATGGAAAACCCACACATAACACCCAAAATTTGCTTTTCAGTAAAGAAGGACACTATCTTATCCTAAAAGCGGATATGGTAATTTTTTTTAAAATCGCTAATTTTTTTTATTCTTTATTTTCGATGTTTGTCATTTGGAAAGAAAATTTACGGCGGTTAGATTGGGGACTGCTAAAATTACGAAATCGGACTTCACTTCCTTTTTCCACGGATAATAAACGGGATCATTTGATCCCCACCCTAAAAGTCGCTCACTTTGGCGCTCCCTCGATATTGCAGGACAACAACTTCGTACTAGTCCACACTCTCGGTTCCTTCTTCTTTCGACTCCCGTAAAGCACTGGGTAGGAACATAGTTGATACTGCGTTCATATAAAAATCTTGGAGCCGATCGTATTGCTCTCGAATGACATTGACTCCTCCGCAATAAAAAAAGAATCAAACTTCAACTTCACTTCGAAAAATGACATAGTATGGTTTTCGCCGGCCTTCTTTCCTTACTGAGTAAGGAGTTTCTGCGAGATCCAGAGATCTCATTCTCATTCTGGTAGAAGGAAGGAAACGGAAATAGAATTTAGAACGGAAATTTTGATTTTTGCATTTGTATGGTTTTTTACAAAAATTTCCGTATCTTTTTACTTTCAATTCCGTCATAAACTTTATGAATGGGAGAGTCAGGCGGAAGTTTACGAAGGCAAGTTAGAAGTGTAGGTCAACCTTTATTTTACAGCCATACAAAACAACAATGTTGTCCTACAACGAAAACCACCTACTGTCCTTTCGCTTTCTTTTTTTAAAGCAGAACAAAAAAATTTTTTAACAAGTGTCTCTCAATATAACTTACCTGCACAGCTGTATATGGAACTGTATGCTTTAGCAGACAATCAAGTATTAAGTTTTCTAGCTGTCCTCCATTTTGTCCAACTAAAATATCAGCTTTGAAAAATGCTTTTTTTCCTTTTTACTTCCCACCTTCGTATAATCATTACGTAATTTTTCGTGACAATTGTTTCTGTCATGAGGACTTGGTAGCCACTAAGCCCGCATCACCGAATTTCCTGAATATAATTTAGTTAAGTCATAAGCTCAAAATAAGAAACATTCGGCCAACCTAAGCATAATCGTTTCTCGAGTAGTGCCACTGCCGAACATTGCACGAAAGCTTCACAAAATTGCACTGGTAGGTCCTAAATTATTATTGAAAATTACTTATTCAATAAATTTCTAGCAAGAATAAACCTTTGTGTTTTTTGAGCGTTTACCACAAATTCGGTGCTAAATAGTAGCAGCCACATTGGTTTAGCACACTTTGGTAGCTGATGAAGATCAGCCTCTTCCTAAATTGTGGTGCATTTTGATTTTGAAAAGAAAAACTCTTTAAATAAATCATTGTAGAAAGAAACCAAAAGTATGACCTATTTTTGATGATGATTAATACAAATATTTTTGTGGAAAATTCCTTATTACATTTGATGATGTAATGGATATAAATGTGAAGTGGGAGTTGAGAAAGCTACCAAAAATAAGCATTGAAAAGGGAGGCTACTGCTGGACTAATGGCAAGTAATTCTCATACACAAACTCACTCTTAACTGTCAAGAACAATTGAAGGACCCTCAACCATGAAAAGACTTGGCAGTTCATATTGCCTCACTCCTGGATACTTTGAGCGGTAGAAAGAATCATCGCAATATTTGCATATTTTAATAAACGAACTGAGAAGTGCTCACTCCATCGGATAACGAGACCGGGATTTTACGTTTTGAGGGCACTTCGCAAAGCGGGAAAAGAATTATTAGATCATATTTAGTAATATTTTCCCAGATATAGCATGCTAAGAAATTTTAGTGAGGAGCT